TGTTCAATAGATTGGATGATAGAATCGTAACCATCAAAATCGATGATCCTGTTGGCGTGATAAAATGATTGGCTGATGTGATTTGGAATAGTGCGGTGGCTGTATTGTGGCATTAATAAAATTAAGGCTAATCTGGAATGAGGTAATCGGTGGAATGATTAACTACGTGAGTCTCTGTGTTCGTTTACAAAAAAAAAAATAAAATAAACAAATTGAGTGTCAATCCGTAAACCCCATTGGATGTTTTATTGTACTTCGAACGAATTTCAGGCTGTGAAATCACCCATTATCCGGGTTGAAAAACAACCAGATGTTAGATTGGTAAATGAACACGGGAATACGGTCAATTCCTCATTCAGATGATAATAAACATCTGCACATAACACGATTTATCACGATTTAACTCAATTGATCGCGATTGATCAAAATTGATCACGAGTTATCACGATCGATCTCAATTGATCACGATTGATCCAAATTTATCGCGAGTTATCACGATTGATCTCAATTGATCGCGAGTTATCGTCATTGATCGCGAGTTATCATCATTGATCCATAGATATCGCTATTGACCATGGGTTATCACGAGTTATCGCTATTGATCATGAGTTATCACGAGTCATGGAGATTGATTACGAGTTATCGCGAATTATCACTATTGATTATGAGTTATCGCGAGTAATGACGATTGATTACGAGTTATCGCGAGTTATCACTATTGATCATGAGTTATCGCGATTGATTATGAGTTGTCTCGATTGATTATGAGTTATCCCGAGTTATCACTATTGATCATGAGTTATCGCGATTGATAGTGAGTTATCGCGAGTTATCATTATTGATCATGATTTATCGCAATTGATCGTGATTTATCGCGAGTTATCATGAGTTATCGTGATTGATCGAGAGTTATCGCGACGCAGCGCGATGTAACATGTAGGTGAATGAACTTTAATGATTAATCGATCACGGTGATTGAGTTTAAGTAATAGATCGATGGCACGTAACAACGGAGAAATTGATGCCGCGTGGTAACTTGCTAATTTTTGTCGATAAAATGCGCCGGTGCGAGATCAACTCAATACGTCTCGTTATATTTAAATAAAATACACGAAATAAATAAACAAAAAAAAAATCATAGTAGGGTTGTACTTTCGTGCTCGTTTTTTCAATCACTATTATAATTACGTAAAAGTAATTTGTACTATGTAACTATTACTATTTTTATGAATTTTTGTACATTTTTCTAATTATTTTGTATAATAACCCTTAGCGGAAAGAATGGATTTAGAAAAAATGTGAAAAATACTAAAAAAAATAATATTGAAAAACAATTTTAACAAGTCTGGCACCTCCTCTAAGTGTTCAAGCGGATGTCGATGATGAGGTTTTTTGAAGATATATTATCAAATGATTAATTAAACTCTTCGGTAAGAATTTATAAAGAATATGTTTTGGAGTGTGCGGATTTAGCGTATGGGAGGGATTCAGTTCCACGAATTTATCGTGAGAGTTGATATGATCATGAAATAATCAGAAGGATCCCACGAGTATCGATGATGTTGTCCACTGTCTGTCTGTAGCTTGCCCGTCTATCTCAAAATATCTGAGAATATCTGAAAATATCTGAAAATATCTGAAAACATCTGACCGCTAGGCCCCTTTGTCTGCCTGTGTTGCATTAAAAGAAAATGAAAAAAAAAAAAAAAGAAAAAATACTAAGCAAGAAATCAAGTTTCCAGGGGCAATTATTTGTCAGTGTATTTGAACGAAGTGGAGATGAAAATTCAATAATTGTACTGTGTAGAACTCATTTTGTCGCCTATGAGGAGAAGATTTTTATGTTTTGTATCTAAACTAATGAAAAACCAGAGAAAAAACGATAAGCCGAATGGATGTACGCTAGGCAGAAGAAAACATAACCAATTATCAATGACATTGAGTAACATTTTGCTGAGGTGAATTGGGCGTAAATTTTTGATTGGATGCCATGAGGACGATTCCCTCGATTCAAGTAATTGCGATGTATGTGTGTGAGTATGTGTGAGTGTGTTTGTGTGATTGTGTGAAAACCTCCTTCGTAATTGAGACGTGTTTGTTATAATTATAAGAGTCACTTTTTTTCCTTTTTCTTGAAAAATGAAAATGCTATAAAAATAGATCAATTCTTTCATGGAATAATTCATGAAAATTATTGTTGATAATTTTTACCATTTTTCTCAAAAATACAATCGTAAACGATAAATCTACACTCACACACTCCCGTCCATTTTGTTTTCAAACACTAGTGATAAGTTTAGGGAATCCCACAAGTCTCCTGTTATCTAGTTATTTCTAGTGATTTTTAGTTGTTACGCTTTCATATTTATGTGTATTCTCTTTCAATTTTTTCAGAGATTTCTATTTGTTACTTTAAACTTTTTAAAAATCAAGAGTCAAGTCCTTTTAGTACTTTAATAAATGAGTTTGTTTCGATATTATTTTCGAGTAATTGATCACGATTCAGAGGAATCAGAAACTTGTGGAGTTTATTCAATCGTACTGCCAACAACAATATATGACCCTGACAGGTACGTATATTTCACTACCAAAAATAAGTCTCGTGGGTCAAAGTACTATTTTATCACTATTGCTCTTACATATATTGATTCTCTAATTTAGTTCCTTTTGTTTCTCTCTATGTTTCAATTTCCCTTCAGTGTTTTTATTCCTTGCTAAACTTATCGCAAATTCATAGGTCAACTTATTTTAGTACTTTAATAAATGGATTTGTCATGATAGTACTCAATAGTAATTTACGATTCAAAAAAATCTACTGAAGTCGTTGGATTGATTCACTGTTGATGTTAATGTAACAAATCGTGGACTGATTGACCCACAGAAAAGGTCATGTGGGTCAAAGTACTATTTCAATATTATTGTCCTTTTTATAATATTCACACATTTTCATTCCACTCATTTACATTTCTTCTGCATTCTCTCTGAATTGTGCCCTCAAGTATATATTCAGCACTTTAAGGTCATGTGGGTCAAAGTACTATTTCAATATTATTATTCTTTTTACAATATTCACACCTTTTCATTCCACTCATCTACATTTCTTCTGTATTCTCTCTGAATTGTGCCCTCAAGTATACATTCAGTACTTTAACCCGTGGAAAAAAGAAAACCTTCACTCCTATTAGTACTTTGATAAACAACTTTGTTATCATATTCCTCAAGACGCGTTGATCACGACCCAAAAAAATTGAACAAAAGTATGAGATCTATTATATCTCTATTCAATACAATACAACACGTAATGATCTCTCCATATTACCACAACAACAGCAAGTGATGTGGGTCAAAGTACTATTTTACAATTACACCTTTTCGCTCTCCATTCCATTCATTTAATTTCTCTTTGCATTCTCTCAATTTCGCCCTCACGTACATATTCATTACTTTAACCCTTTGATAAACGAAAATCTCCACTCCTATTAGTACTTTGATAAACAACTTTATTATGGTATTCCTCAAGACTCATTGATCACGACCCAAAAAAATAGAACAAAAGTATGAGATCTATTATATCTCTATTCATTACAACAAAACACATAATGATCTCTCCATATTACCACAACAACATCAAGTGATGTGGGTCAAAGTACTATTTTACAATTACACCTTTTCGCTCTCAATTCCATTCATCGAGTTCTCCCTCTCGTTTTAAGACATGCTAAACTCACCACAATGAACAGTGAAGGGGATTTCCATATCTCACGGTAATTCCAACGCATGAAATTCGAAAGGAGGAAATATTCACGCGATGAAGCGACAGAAGTGCGTCCCTGGTGTTGAGGTGTCTCTCATATCAGTGAAACAACAAAACACCTGGAGGAGGCGTCAACTTATTGTTCTTGAGACACTCGACCCGTATTTGGCTTGCTTTCTCGCCATTCACGTTCATCCCAATCAGGTCAACGGATCAAGGTTTCCAGTCTGTATTTCCACGTAGAAGCTCCGGAACTCCTGGATCTAGTCTCATTTTACCGAGGGGTTATTCATTGGTAAAATTACCGTGTCACCACGGATTTAAATCACCGGTAATCAGTCCAGATATCACGTGAAACCTGTGGAGTCATAGGATTACATCGGTTTCAAATAATTTGACATGAAATCACTTGAGATCATTTAAAGTGGGAAAATTCTGCATTGAGTCAGAGACGAGGGAAAACTGAGGCATGAATCAATCAAATCAATTGAAATCAATTGAAATCAATTGAAATCGTTTGGAATCATGGGATCTGGAGAAAAACTTCTTAAAATCCCTTGAAGTCACTTGAGATCAATTATTCCCCGAAATTATTTGAAATCACTTTGAAATCATGGAAAATCCAGAATCGTTGTCTCACGATATTCGACAATGAATGACCCCTCGCATTTTACACGTGCTTTCAGCAATTTCAGAACTCAAACTTTTATTCAAATGTCAAATCTGTAGTTCACCATTGACGATTAGAACCTAATGGATTACTTTCGCAATGCAAATCCTATTTTTACTGTTGGATCCAAGGCGAGAGGATGAGAGTGGGAAATCTGTTCTGTCCTGTACCGCACCTTCACAACCGCCACTCGAGATTAAAGGATCAATCCGGGGTCAAGGAATCGAGGTAATACCAACGGCCATCATCTGTCAACTAAATTAAAATCTTCTGCGCGGTTGAAATGCATTTTCTTTGAAATTTCAAAAAGTATCAAAAAATTATCGTCTTCTTTAATCGTGAATAACTCGTGATTCGTCGATTAGAATTCAACGATTCTTTTTTCATTCTAAAGATCTTTTCTCAAGCTATAAATCAAAATAAAAATCATCCGATTTCACTCAGCGGTTCTCGAGTTATTGAACACCGAAGCCGTTCCTTTACCCCACTCTCACCTAAAGACAATATAAAAAAATTACACTTAGTTAATAACAAATAATATTAACGCAGTTGATGTTTGATTCTATATTTCTCGGGATTATACAAATATTTTTCAAGGTGAATAGCCAATAATTGCTCTGGCACTCATCTTCAATTACATTGGAGTGTACGTAATAAAAAATTAAATATGATTTAATCCAATTGGAGGTTGCAATTGTGTTAACGATCGGTACGTGTTTGTTTCATAACAATAAATTGCTGTGGAGTGGCCCCTTGAAGTGCCTCTTCTCTTGGCATCACATGACTCTCAATACTTATTAGCTCCTTGCAAATGGTAACGAGTGTTACGCAGTCAACCTGTGGTTCAAAAGGTCAATTCCCTTCTGACGTTCATTCTCTCCTTTTCTCCACTCATCTATAGAAATTTGCAATTACACATATTCGACAAATTACGATTATCCCTTTGTCTTCGATTATTTCTTTCGTCTCGAGTAATTCTTCGATTTAAATAACTACGTATTGCCTCACTAGTCGGATTTTTAAATAAATTTTGGGAGGAATTAAATAATCGTCAGTTGAAGAAATAGAATCATGTGTTCAACACTCGAAAAATCAAAACTGTAATATGACGTGTCATTGTAATGACCAAATTAAAATTGATTTATGGAGTTCGATAATTTTTTAAGCAATTCAGTAATTATGGATGTTTAAGAGAGACTGTTATTTAAGTCATAAAATTCTGCTGGCAATCCGGAACTGACGATTTTTTTAATGCCTCGGAAGATTTTCCGGAGGGACTTTTAGTTTTTCTCAGAATGTACAGTTTCATGTGAGAAGAAGTCCTGGAATTAGATGCTTCCGGCTGTTTTTTTTTCTCTCAGGCTTACAGGACAATTATCTCTTTTCACTTCTAATTACGGTATTCTTTCCACACGGACAGGTTCATACCTCCACTTTGGTACATTGTGCAGTCGGTCATTTCGTTCCTACAATAAAAAAAACGGATGAGAGTGAGAGAAAACATCAACAATTAATTCCATTAAAAATTCAGTCTCAAAATGAATAACGAAAATAAAAGAAATGAGTGAATAACGAATGAGTCGAAACAAAAAGACGGAATCGAAATGAAACAGAAATTACATAATAGCAAATTAAACATCAATTATTCTAAATATTATTACTACACGATTTATCTGATTTATGATTTTGGAGAATTCATGCGGCATCGACAAGCAGAAAAATTAAATTGTGAAAGTTTTCCAAGAAAATTTCTGTAATTTTGTATTATGATAACATTCAAGGTACTATCCAGTGGTGAAATCGCTGTCACATTGAATTTCTAGGATTAAAAATTAGGATTAAATAAAAAATAATGAACACTTGGTACGTCTAAGAGTTACATTGGTCTACGGATACTCAAGAGAGACTAATTCTAAACTCAACTATTTGGGCCTTATGTTAGGACCTTTGGCAACAATATGTCCATCCCCTGAAAAGTGTTTTTCCTTTTCCCTGATGACTTCTCATCTCCAAATGTTAATTAGGGAACTAAGACTCACAGAAATGGATCCTTGAGCAGAAAAGCTCTGGGCTGAACCTTCTTGAGCCGATCTCCATTATCACACAGAATTTTCGCCATAGTACTCCTTCGAATTTCATTGAGCTGATTAATGGTGAAAGCACCGGGTGTCCTGTCATTCTCATACCAATACCTATCACCTGTGGATAAACAGCAATTATTGAATCATAAACATCGATTACACAAAAGTATTAATTATCGAGAATATAGTTAATCACCTAGGCGAGTATTTCTGAATGTGTGTCCCAGTAAACATAAAAAGGTCGGCCCCATTACGGCATCCTCCACAGCGACCTCAGACAGGGCCCCAGTCACAAGGTCGATATCCTCGACATTTCTAGGTGCAAATAAGAGAGAACAAATGAGAGAACGAATCAGATAGTCATGATAATGACGGGTATCGGTGATTATTACCTGTAGACACGTTGTAATCTATCGATTGTGTCCTTCGACATGGTACCACTGAGATCTTTGAAGGTTTTTACATCTGGCATATCGCAGAATGCCCTCCAGCGAATGTAGGGAGGAAGACCGTGATCTCTGCCTTCTTGGATCACCTGGGCTACGTAATCCACGGCGGCATCATTTGTTTTTCCATCGTGGAAGTATCGCTCCAGGAAGATCTCGTTGAGACTTGGGGGGTACGGCTTTCTCGAATGCCCAGCTGATTAAAATAATCCATTAATTTTATAGAACCATAGGTTTTCAAGTGTTAAGTTCAATGTTTATAATAAGAAGTGTAACATGTCGATTTTTTTGCTAATATATTTTTGAAAGGCTTCCCAATAGAATTGTCAATTCCACGATTTTTGGATTTCAAAAGAAAGATTTATTTTTTATTTAGTGGAATTATTTTGTTTTTGGAATATTCAAATGAATATTATTTGAGGTATTTATTTGGGAATCGAATGGCCCGATATTCAACGTTGAGCCAACCTTGGGGCAACATTGGGCCAACATTGCAGCAACCTTGCAACAACCTTGTGGCAATATTGAACCAACAATCGAAGGTTTTGGTCACATACACATACACACGATGATTATCCGAAAGATCCCAAGGTTTCCGAGGAAAAAATTGGTTGAGGTGACTAAAAAAAATGTGAAATCTCGGGTGAAAAAATTCATGTGCTTCAATGAAACAATTAAATGAAGACTCACAAGCCCAAAGTTAGTCTTCGTATTCTTTTTTAGCGAAACGATTAAATCTATATTGTAAGGAGTTAAATAACCCATTAATTTGGATTTTGTCTTGACAAAGAAAGTGAATAATGCGAATTTATATCAACAAAATATCAATTAAACAGATAGCATCATGGAGCAAGAGGTATTATTGTTTAATCGAGGAGAAACCCTGAAAGCCGTTCCATTGCGTCAGAGACAAGTCGTTTCATTCATCATTCACAACACGAAAATCAATCTTTTGAATCTCCAGACAATTGGGTGTGAGTTGCGTTGAATATTCCCGGCTGTTTATCAAAGACACTGGCCCATTCAAGCAATTGCGCAATGCCCAAAGAAATGGGACGTACCGGTGGCTCCAGCGATGAGGCGATCGATGGCCCCGGCCTCGTACAGCTCCTGAGGTGCGTAAAACGCCGAATATAATGATCTCTCTCCGGATTTTTCTGATGTACTCGAGTCAACGAGATCTAGAGTTTTCGGGGTGAGAGCTGCTATGAAAAATAATCCAGCAGACGCTGCGGCATTGCTGACTGTTCCATCCAATCTCGAATCGTATTTCGTGAAGAAACCCAATTTCATTGGTCGTAAATTGAATCTGCAAATTACAATCGTATTTTCATTCTTCAAAGTACATCGACTGAAAAATTCAGTAGAATTTACTAAAACCAGATTTTTCCGTTAATAATAAACGAACTGTTTTTTTTCTCTTCGGCTTAAACATATGTTCATTAATAATGATTAACAATTTAATATTAGAAATAGAACAATTCAATTTTTCATTTTGACTTGAAAACCCCTAAAAAATAGAAGAATCAATCAATCAATTAATAAAACCACGAAAAACTCATTTTCAAAGACAATAAATAATGAATCGTCAAATGTTCATGAATAATTAAATCCATAAATAATAAAAAAGGATTAATATCCCGAATGTTTTTTGCTGCTTCTAATAATTCCGAGTCTAGGTGAATCATTTCAGGAATATTATCGGGACAATATCATAAAAATCACAGGGATATCCTTGAACTATTGATGGATGATTTGCTGGCTACCTCTGGAGATTGTTCTCGCCAAGAACAGCTGGCAGAAATTCCCCGTAGGTGATGTGCTGCATCTCCGCGATAACGATTCTTCGGGCCTCTTGATAAAGTCTCTCATCATCCCAGAGTGGATTGAGCTCAGCTAATTGTCCAGCAATTCTGTTGTGCTCCCTCAGGAATAATACATGCATCATAGCTATTCCCGGATGCTCATTGATCCGATAATCACCACTGGAGAAGCAAGGCAGAGCTTTATCACGAGTCCTGCAGTCTTTAGAGTTGGCCGATGGCATCGGCAGATTTTTTCGCTGAGTCTTCAGCAAACCAGTCTTGCCTGAGCGAAGACTGCGAGAAGTTTCCTCAGAGCTCCCATAGATTGGAGATAAATCCAGATAGGAAGTGGCTTGATTCATCTGCTGTCTGGGGCCCAGCTTACAGCCCTGAATAAAAAATGCAAGACGAATGACCACATGAACATCAAAACATCAAAATACAAAAAATAAAGTTGAGATACTTGTCACAATAAATTGGAAGATATGAAATAATTAGATACATAAGATAAATTTCTACCTGATTATTTCCAGGATGTATCGCAGACCTGGAGTACTCCATGCATCCAAGAGGACTATCAGCCCTGATGGGAAAGCACTCGGGATGGAAATAATCAAAGTCGACATCGCAGCACTTGAGTCTCTCGCCATTGCTGAACTGTATCTTGGGGGTATGAGCAAGATCATGAGCGACGAATTGTCCAAAAAGTGCAGTCATAGCCATGAGGAAGGGATGCCTGGAGTCATGACCACCTGAGTGAACACTCATGGAGACCTGACGAGCACTCGGAAAGCTAGTTTTGGGTAAGGAAACCCCGTCTTGATACTCTGGTGGAAGAATTCGACTGTAAGCCTCTAGAGCTGCTCCCCAATTCGGATGCGATGGATTATTGCATGTACCAGTGTGCGTTCTGTATTTGGGATTAAATTTTTTGCATTGACTGGCAGTTCTGGTGAAGACATTCCCCGTGTGATGGCATAGGTCTGGGGTCAAGGACATGGCTGGTAGCAGTGATACAGCATCCCTCGGGGACATGTCCAGTGCTTCAACTAGCATAATTGCCATTGTCTCGCTTCTGAGTGCTTGTCTGGATAAATTATGTGCTGCCTCTGTCATCTCGTGTGATGCCCCGAGGTACCATGAAGGTGAGCCGTGCCTCAACTTTGTACTCGACATCGAAATTGCGGACTCTGTTCTATCGTATTTATCCATTGTCTCGTTTGCTCGTCTCCACAGGTCTTGGAGCATTCGCGGTGGTAGGAATACCGATTCGCACAGTCCCATCAGGAGAAAAATGTGAGGAATACTGAAAATAGAGGGGCATCATTATCCTGATGGATCGCTCCATTGAGGGATTGAGTTGTTCATTTGGTTCATTTTGGAGTATTGATTGATCATCGGTCGATGAGTTATTTCGTTTGACCAATCATCGATCCTCCGTTCACAGACCCTGGACCAGGGATCGACCACCGATCGACCACGGATCGACCACGGATCGACCAACAATCGAGTCCCCATTTATCGAATGAATAAGTCGATCAATAGATCAAGTTGTTATCGAATCACCATCGAGTGGATAGATCACTCGATTCAACGATGTAGTTGTTTACTCGGTCAAGTATTGACTGATCATCGATCGATGAGTTATTTCGTTCAACCAATCATCGAGTCGCCATCGACCGAATAAACGATTCGATTAATCGAATTGCTATCGAGTCACCATCGAGTTATCTTTAGGATATTCTACTGAGAAGAACTCTTTTACCGTGACCTACATCCCTCCATTACTTTGATTTCTGAATTTCAGGACTGCAAACGTGGAATGATAAACGATTATCAACGTCTCTCGTCGTTTTCCCTTTTGGGGAGTAATTATGATCTCTCGATATGGCGCGAAATATCTCAGTTCATTTTTATTGCGGTGGATGAATTTTTGGTTTCAATATGAAGAACAGAATTATTTTCCTTTCGAAATTTCAATTCTCTTCTAATCCTCCGAGATTTCATCACAAACAAATTTAAACAGTTATAATTATTTATTTATTTATCGAACCATTCACCTTTATTTTCACTACACTCTATTATTCAATATTTATTTATTCCATATCATTCTTGATTTCTGGTTTACGTTTAATGAATGTTTATTTTCTGGTTTATAATATTCAAGTAAAATATTTCTCGTCTTTTATAACATTTTCACGATCAATCTCCTAAGTTAAAAATCTAATTATTAATAATGATTACTTTGTTTAAATTTGATAATTGAAATTGATACCCTTTTCGTGATTTTTAATCGTTAAATAAATGCATGTAATCACTAAATTGTTGATTCGATCGGTGATCTTCGGTGGAACAATGAAATTATCCGATCATCGATTCCTCTAATTTCCATTGATCGCCATTTTTATCATTCTATTGAATTAAGCACTCTATAAAACAAGCCTGACATTTACGATTCTTCCTGGTTCCCCGTGATTCATCTTACGTAATTTTCATTGGAGTTCAAAGGTAATTGATCAAGTTAACGTGCATCCGTGCGATCGGATGAGCGATCCGATTTTTATTCGATCTATTCTCAGATCGATTTTATGTGCAAGCACTCAAATCCCTTCTCTTATCTGATTCTCTGAATGAAAGATGAGGATCCCCATCCCAAGACCTCAAATATTCCGACTTTTTCGATTGAGAAAAAAACCCATCGGTTTCGCGAAGAAAAAAGGAATTGTTCCTTAAAAAATAAATCAGCCGATAAAATATATTAATAAATAAATCAGTATCGAAATTCAAAATTTTCGAGTTTAAAGAGAATTGATTTACTTCCAGAAAAAATAAATTAAAAATACCAAATAATAATGGTAATAATAAATAAATTATTAACAAACGGTTTTTTGTGTTTGTATTAAAAAAACACTCAAATTTCATTCAATTTTAATTGTAAAATATATTAATTTTTATTTAATTCGACTGACCAGAATTTTATGCATTTATTAATTGAAAATATATTTATATATTTAATATATAATATAGATGGCAGAAACAATTTTTTTAACAACAAATTTATAATCACCACGTGATTAATCTAGGTGAAATCAATAAAGATAATGAAAAAGTTAATGATTAATAAAATTCAACGACAGCTCGATCTAAAATAAATATTTACTCACCATCGGATGTAAATAAACATTTTGAAATGTCAAGCCACAAGTAATGAGTTAATTTTCATTCAATTAGAATAGGTGAAATGGTTGACACTTCACTGGAGATTCAATAGAAATAAATAATAATGTTGAAAGTGCAGAATTGTTTGGTGCACATCGGTTCTGGTAGAACGTGCGACTGGTTGACTTCTGAAGGTAGAATCAGCCTCTGCCTGGAACGAAAGTACACGAGCTCCTGAATTCAAATGGAGAGTGGGGCTTCGGATCTTTATCTTAAGATGTCAATCGTCACATGACTCCATTTTTTTTCAACAATTAAAAATTTTAAATAATGGGAACGAGCGCGAATGGCAAGGGGTGAAATGTAAATCACGATCTAGCACACCTGGAGAACATTTTGAGATATGAGTTCAATTCTATTGTCAATTGCATTTTATAATAATTATTATTATATAATAACATATCTAATATATATATTATATATTAATATACGTAATATTATTATATAATGATAATAATAATAAGAAGAAGAATAAGGATATGAATAAGAATAACAAATTAATAATTATTCAATGATTATTATTGCATTATTATTATTATTATTATTTAATTATTTTTTTCTTTTATTTCTTTTATATTAAAAAATTTTTTTTTTACTAGTCGCTTTTTTGTAGCTCTCAATTTTTTTTTAAATAAAATGTTTGTTTAAAATGAGAATTTGATTAGACTCGATATGGACAGGTAATCGACAAGGTTCGGGTGACCTCGGGGTCATTCGGATTTGGGGACACTTGACCGAGAAAATCTCCGATAGATTAGGAGTTGCGATTGAGTTCTCAAGAAGTAAAAACGTTTTTTTGCGTTAATTCCTGTTCAATTTGAGAGTTACTCAATAATTATATTGTTATTAGTTATTCAACAATTTAATAAACAATTCATTCAGTTAAAACCAGACTTTTATATATTGGACAGGTTCACAATTAGACGGTGGGAGCCGAATAAAGTGCATCAACGAGATTTTCATTAAATTGTGTGTTACTGTTTTTTCAATCCTATTCTTACACCTTTTTCTTCAATTATCAGAGTACCTCGGTAAACAGGTCTTTCAAAAAATGCGTTGTTTCTTCAATTTATAATTATTGAATGAAGATTGATTGAATTGTACACTTGTTTAAATATTTTGCAGGCTTATGGTACTCCGGGATGATAATGGTAATGTGAAACAGGAATAAAAAGTCTTTAGCATTGGATCGAGAATCTGCGGTTCAGAAGGTAGGACACGTGGCCTTGCCACCCACGACTCAAAGACCAAATGTCATTCCAGTACTTTGGCTTGCGCCTTTTTCCAGTCATTCACTCACGTGATGAATCAACAATGCACATGTGAATACATCAGTCTCTAAAGTACCAAATAAATAAAAAAACTCTGCCTCATTGGTCTAACTTTTAAAAACAATTCTTCCCACTTTTTTTCAGGAAAATTTTGACTCCAAAAATGGAGAAAACACTTTTTAGAAGTGAAAACTATTCGCATTTTTTCAATCGCAACGTGAAAACCCAAGTACTCAAGAGAGAGTGACAGAATGGAACGTCTTCACTAGCCAATAACTCGCAAACCGCAGAGTGAAATCGAATAATAATTATCTCATTTTAAACTTCAAAAGCAGATCTTCAAAATGAAAAAAAAATCGTTTAATTCCACTCCACCGATCTCAAGCTATCGACGATTGAAGACCTGTTGTCCCACTCTCCCCTAGTATTATTTAAACAATTTTCACTGGATCATCTCTTTACCGTTCTTCTCTCCTCTTTTCTATTCTCGATTTTGCGAACATATCGTTACTGTTGTCCAAATGTACAGTCAATTAGCATAACGTTATGGCTGTGTGGCCACTTACCCAAGAGATTATGCAAAAAGAAGAACCAACACATTATCCCAAGTGAATGAAGGCGTAAGGAGTGGCGCGTAAAAGTAACGATCTTCTTCCTTTGCTTTCACATTAGCATAAATATTTGGTTTCCGTTATGATTCTTTTCATTAGTGTTAAAAAACTCAGACTAATCATTTATCTTAACCGTCAATAAACTTTTATTTCATTCTAATGAGTACTTCAGAATAATTTCCACTCCTCCAAAGACTCGAGATTATTTAGCAATAAAATTAGTTTATTGCTGTTAACCACAGTACTAATTCACACAAAAATCATGAAAATTGTTGAAAGAATTTAACGGCTGATAAATCCAACAAAAAATCATGGGTTCCTTAAATAATTTTTCTGTATTTTCGGCAATTTATTCTAGTATTTAAATCATTTAAGTATTTTGTTTTTAAGACCAAATTTAAAAAGCAATAATAATAATAATAATAATAATAATAATAATAATATAAAAAATAAATAAAAATGTGAAAAAGTTTCAATGGAAAAAATTACTATTTTTTATTATCAATTAAATTTCTACCCAGTACATTTATAATTATATTCACACAAGTCCTCATGTACTGACATCATCAGTGACATCGAGAACAGCTCCGCTGTACGCGAGATCCCAGTAATGCTCGACCTGATGTTTCTTAAAGTGTTCCCGAGCCATTTTCTCAATTGGACATACTTTGAACTTGATATCACCGAAGTGTCGCTGTTTACTGGTGCCACGCCACACTAGGACGCACTTATTAGGAACGTCATTACCATCATTGTCCTTGACAATGTCCTCCTCCCATTTTATCCGCGTGCTCATCAACCTGTGGTACTTCATCAATTGCTTTGCACCACCTTCGACGACCACAACGTTGCAATCACGAAATAGCATCACACAACCAGTGAGGTAGAGCTGTTTGGCGTTTGTCTCCACTTTGTATTTCTTCGATGCGTTGTTCAGTAAATCTCGTATTCTGTAATTAAATTAAACTTCAATTAGATGCGCCAGGTTTTCATCCAGGTGTTCCACCACGTCAACCGTCATTTTTATAATTATTTGAGGGATTAAAAATGATTCTACACGAGAAATGACTTTCATCCTCTATATACAGGTCTCTCGTAATTCTAATTAATAATTAATTAGCAATTGATCAATGATACTGATGAAACGATTAAAAAAAATAGAATTAACCTGTAAACAGCGACATGAACCCCGAGAGACGTGTCCTCCTTGAGTTTCCTGGCCTTCTTTTCCCTCCTCTGATCAGCAGTGAGTCTCCTAGCAGCATTGGCATCCTCATGAGCCTTAAGCCTCTTGGCCATCTGCTGTCGTACATGAGCCTCAATCTTGGTTGGATCCTGCACAGCCTCATTACCCAGTACTCTCATCAAATTGGATATTCTCAATTTGGGTTCAGGTGGTGGCTCAAGGCCCAATCGAATTTTTTCCTGCTCTTCCTTCCAAGCCTCCCTGCGATTCTGTCTCCTGAGCTTCTTCCTTTCCTTCTTCGTGAGAAAAACAGGCATATAAGCTGGCTTCAAAGGATCTGTCGGTGGTCTCATCTGGGTTGGATGCTCAACGAGATTCGTTATCGTTGCTGTTTTAATCTGAACAGACTCGTCACTGCTCGGATAACCATTAATGAGTATCACAGAATCCCACCACTCGACATTTGGCACGTCCTCATTGAGGGCTTCCGTTTTTGGTGCTATCAGGGCTAATTTTGTCGCTGAACTTATCCCTGTTTTTCTCGCTATCTGACTTATCTCATTCTGCAATTTCTCCAGTTGTGCTTTCATTCGAATTCTTTCAGCAATCTGCTGGAATTTTCCTGGCTCGTGAAATTTCAGAGCTCTCTTGCTGCGACTCGCAGCTTTTACACCAATTCTCGTATCGAAGAAGTGAGTGTCCTGAATCTCCTCCGGGCCCTTTGACTCCTGCAGCTGAGCCCTGAACTCCTCTCTCTTCTTGGCTCGAATGTTAGCCTTCAGGGTGGGCACAACCTGCGTCAGCTGGACCTCTTTTCCAGTGATGTCCACTGTTCGTCCTGATTCATCTAGGATCAGGGGTGTTGGCTTGTCAGGGACACTCACGTTGTTCAGAAGACCTGAATTAAGTTTATTCTTTATTTGTGCCTGCAGGGCTGCCAGTTTTCTCGCCTTGTCGGAGTCCGTTTTGCTGAGCAATCCCTGGCTGTACATTGAACTTGCCAGGGGCAGGGATTCACGCGGTTTTAATTGGGAGTGAATTGGAGACATGTCGTCTTCTTTTATGGAGCGCAGGGCACGCTTTCGTTCTTCAATCTCTCGTTGCGCGTTCAGCATCATTTGTTTTATCTGAAAATTAAAAGTACACAATTTTTTGGTACACGCGGGTAATTGTGTTAATGAATCGCAAAATTATACAATTGAAATTCCAGGTATGATACCTTGTCTGGGGAGAGAGTGTTCCCTGCATTTCCATTCTCAGGTTCATCTGCCATTTTCGATTTCTTCGCGTCTTTATCTTTCTCCTTGTCCTCCGCATGAGCTCGTTTTTTACTCTTTTGTAATGCCTTCACATCTTCGTACATCGTGAACACTTTGTCCGTGAGTTTCATCGCTTTTTTGTCCTCCAGCAACGCCGACAATTTATCTATAAATCAAAATCATCACTCAATTAATAATTACTAATTAATTTCGATATCTCATACGAATGGAGTCTCATTATATTATTCTATATAAATACATATATATTTATAATTAAATTCGACGTAATTTATTTAATTGGCAAATGCTGATTCAGATTGAGAATTAGTTATTTTTTTCGGTCAAAGGAATGCACGAGAATATCAAATTAAATGAATAGGGAAAATTATGTGGTGTTTAATTAACAGAGTTAAGAGTGAGATTTATTATTTTACCTGCAGTTTTACGCTTGTCATATCCAGAAACAATGCAATTGACAGCAGTTGTAACAATCGCAGGCTCAGCAAATCCCAGAAATTTATACACAGCCTTTTCAATTTCCGGCTTCATTTCATCAATCTCTTTTCTCGTCAAGTACGACATTTTAAACCCACAAAGATTATTTATATACAATTAATCAAGAAATGTGAATTTATAAAATTAGTAAAACCTTTTAGTATTTCCAAACATAACCCCAAGGGGATGTGAGGTTAATCCACTGATACGTTGTTCCTCCGAAAGTCTTTATCTAGCCCAAAATCAATTCAATTTATTCTTCAAACAATCACTCGACTATCAATCTACAATAAACACGTTATAAACATTCATTAATCCACAATTTGTTTATTATATTATATTATTAAATAAATTCTCATATTGAGTGAGACTGTACATATGATTACAGGGTTATGTTGGAGATGCTCTACACATATTTATGATATCGATATGTTGCAGTATCGATATTTTCATTTCGACTTTCGATATTTTTTAACGAAATTTTCAAATTTTGGGTTCAGGTGAATTGATGTTGATTTATTATCATAGATAATTGGAATTTGACCTAGTAGTTACAAAATAATATTTTTATTTAGTTGATACTGATAGTTTAAAGTGTGTAGGTATATCTGAACTTATCATTGAGCAGGAAATTAATTCAATGGCAGAGGAATCAGTTCTTGTTTCTTTTTCTGTTGACTTTATTGATTTGAGGTGAAAAATTACGGCGACGCATTCAATGGATGAAGTCGTGAGGAGAATTGTGAAATCTATTCGATCAAAGAAACCCCCTAGATTTCACTAAGATTAACTGTACAATAATCGTTTGGGGAAAACCAGAGAAAGAACATCAGAGATTCTGACATCCACAGGGCAGCAGTCTGGAAGAGATATTTTTATTCAATATAAAGATAAATAATAATTTTTTCATGGAATCATGTGCCTTAATACTGACCAAAATTGGTGCCCTGCACGTAACCAGCCCACCATAGCCAGGGAATGATAAAAATGATATCTATTCGCTGTCTCAAACACTTGCTTCAATTGATCGTCCTTATATTTTCCCTAAAAAAAAATATAAATAATTCTTAATCAAGAATATAAGGACCCGATGACTGAAAAAATTTAAAAAAATTCGCACTGTGAACTCCATATGCCCCGAGGATGACTGCAGTGACTCCACTGAGTTCTGCCAATTTCAAATAAGGCCCTGAGGGCCCTGAGGCTACTGCCGATTTCCACAAAGGCTCAGGTGGAACCAGTTTGTACTCAACACGGGGCTTGAGGCCTAAATAATTGATAACGTAAAAAATTAATGGATATTCATTCCTCATGTAATTAACAAATGTCAAAAAAAAAACAATTTTAATCAGAAATTCAGAAATAGAATAAACTATAGAAGCATTACCCAGTCTCCAAAAATCAGGCAATAACAATAAATAAATTGATTCCTCTTATTTTTTATTAAAAAATAACAGCGACTTACAGGTGATGCAGCAGTTGTCGCAAACGAACCGGCACTCGAGCTGACGGGATTAGAAAACAGAACATAATTCAATGTATCT